TTTTATAGTAAGAGGTGTGAGAGGAAAAGACATGCTGCTACAGTGTAGGAATTTGAAGGTAAAGTCATTAAAAGGCACTGAATACAACACCAATTATCAATAAATACTATTAAATGTATTCCATTTCAGTATAGAAAAACGTTTCTCAATAGATAGCTGGCTTAGACTTTTTTTAATAGGCTTGTATGTTTAACAAAAAATTGGATTCACATTGAATTAGCTTCGAATTAGCTTGTTTTCTATTGTCATTTATACGCCTGCACAACTTGGGTTTTCCCTCTGAGGAAGGCTCAGGCACATTTTTAATATCTAACCAAATATTACAATGAAGGCGTTTAAAATATAAAATCAGATGTATTATTTTGCAATCTCCTGCGTAGTGCTTCATATTATTGTCTGTATATTTCTGTGCAACTCCTCAAACTATAGGAATGTGCATCAACATTATATTGTGACATACATATTGTCAGATAGTCAATAAATATTCTTTGTATAAATTACTTTTGCACACACTTCATGAATATGCCTCTGAAAATTCTGAAATAGTTTACAAATAAAGAGAATACTTCAGTCTGGTATATTCTGAAACATTTTAGGATCCTTCCCTGAGAGGTATATTTGTAAAGGCAGTGCAAAAGTTCTTTCCTATTGAACTAAGTTATTTCCATTTGCACATGATATTCTACTTTGCACCCACACAGTTCACCTCCTGCAATGAAAAACACTCCCCTAAAAGAGTGCAGTGTAAAAGCTATGATTTAAATCCCAGTGGGCTGTATGAAAGCACACACAAAAATCAATTCAAATTTTTTGCATTCAATTTATTTTGCATAGCCCTACAGCAGTCATCTCGAGTGGCGGTACAAAGTCGTTGATTCTTCAGATCAGAGACTCAGACAGTTCAAACTCAGGAAATGCAATAGGGCGGCACGGTGGCTGAGTGGATAGGACTCTCGCTGAATCCTGGTCGGACCAAAGCCTTTCTGAGTGAAATGTGCATGTTCTCCCTGTGTCTGCGTGGGTTTCGTCCGGGTGCTCTGGTTTCCCCTACCACTAAAAAAAACCATGCACAATCTTAATGTAAATGAGAGAGTGAATGGATGCTGTTGATTGGGGGCTTTGATGCACCAGTGTGTTCGGCGACTCGCTTCCGTCATCACCGTGTGTGGAATGATTGGAACAATATCTGAACCCTGTAAGGCGCTTTGGGTGACCTTGGTCTATAATGTGCTATATTACTTACATAGGATCCATTTGTCCAATAGGGAGCAGGATGACCACTGTCCATAAATGTTAACACGCTTCTATGAAAGTCCTTAAATGCCCTGGATCATCACTGTCCTTACAGCCTCCTGCATTTGCGAGGAACGAATCAAAACCCCTGAAATTATAACGTGTATTTTGTCTACGTGTCGCTGCAGCAGTACAGAGGTCAGTTCAGTTCAGGATGTCAGAATGCAGCAGTAAACACATTGCAAAAGGATTTGAATGAGCTCCACATCTCTCGACTTTAAAGCACGTATATCTTGAGTGTGTCTGGTGGAGTGGCGATACCGGTGATGGAGAGTGAGGGAAGACATATTTTGGTTTATTTGGCTATTATCTTTCTTCTTGGTCTCTCCTCTCCTGCGATAAGGCCTGTGCTGTTCAGACCTGCTGCAGTGTGCGCCGCCTGCCAAGCGGTCGTGGAAAAAACAAAAATCTACGGTCAGACCATACATGTTTTGAACCTCCTCTGCTCTTTCTGGGCGCCGTTTTTTCACGTGTGTAATTTCAGCCTCTTTACGTAAATAAAATCAAGTGTAATATTTAGAATAGTACACGGCATTTGAAAGAATATTTATATTGGTTTTTGTCTTCTTAATTTGGACGACTATAACTCTGCTTAATCCATGGGTGGTTGCATCATCAGCTATAAGTAAGTAAGTAAGTAATCTTTATTTGTATAGCGCCTTTCCCATACCAGAGTCACAAAGCGCTTTACAATTGTTGCTTTTGGGCATTTGTCTCTAGCTCCACACAGAGAAGGGAGCGAGGTTGTCAGTACAGGAGGCGTATGTCAGACCTATTGTACATGTTTTTGGTTTTGGGGGAAACCAGAGCACCCGGAGAAAACCTACGCAGACACGGGGAGAATGTGAAAACTCCACTCAGAAAGGCCCTGTTCCGACTGGGATTCGAACCCAGTGAAAGTGTTATCCACTCAGCCACCGTGCCGCCCACAGCAGAGAAATATGAAGCTTGGGGGTGATCCTATGCAATAACTTTTCTGGGTTAGATACTGACATGTCTTTTTTTCTGTCACTATAACAGTCTGCTGCAAAGAACAATTGAATTTATTTTTGTATTGCCCTAAATCACAGCAGCGGTTGTCTCTGAGGACTTTACAAAGGTGTTGATTCCACAACAACAGATCACATAATGGTGTTTGAACACAGGAAAAGCAATAGTACACATAGGAGTCATTGGTCCATAGGAAACAAAATGACCAACGCCCATAAATGTCCTTAAATGTCCCAGATTATCACTGACCAGGCATGTCAAACTCAGGCTCGTGGGCTAGATCCGGCCCCCAAAGCAATTTTAAGTGGCCCCTGATATGATATTCAATTACTATTTCTTAACTTCCAGCATTGATGGTAATGAGCAACCATGGCCTAAACATTTAACCCATCATCATGAAAGACTTAAATAATAAAACAATGTGTTTGACTTTACATTTGGTCCAGTTTTGGTTAAATCTCAACAATGAACACATTTTGCATTCAGAAAAATTGGAAAATATAAGAAAAATAAGAACAGAAATCCCCTTTTATTCTTCTGGCCCTCGACCACTTTCTATTTCTTTTATTCGGCCCCAGACCAAAATGAGTTTGACACCTCTGCCTTAGACCTTCATGCATCGGCAAGGAACAACTCCAAAACGCACTCGGAAAATGCACACACAACGGGACGGAGGCTATAGATCCAGGACTCAGGCTGTAGAGCAGAAGAGTGAAAGTGTGTAGCTGCCCAACCTGAACCTACTTCAAAAATTGTGTCTCTATCACGACTACAAAAATCCCGTCTGAGAAATCTTTGGATTGTGAACAAATGGCTGGACTCTTTGGGTCAGCTTCCCAAATAGTCCAGCCATTTGTTTGCGCTCCAAAACCCTGTAGTCGAGGCCTCTGATGACTCATTTCTAATTATGAATAACAACTGTATCTGCACAAAGAAAGATTAATCTCTAATGTCTGCCTAAATGTTCTACGTTAAATAAAAAAGGAGGGTAGAGCTGGTGTCTGGAAGGAGAATGTATTTGACTGTGAAAATACCTCATTTTGGTTTTTAACATTCTTCCTCACAGCTGTGGCATTTGTCACTGGAAATAAGATTTAGGGATGCTTAATTAAGCCTTAAAATTCAAGGCAGAACCCATGTAAAATCCCTATTAACATGTTTGCATATTTTATCAGTGAGCTAGAAATTCAAACTGGTCCAAGTTCATCCTCCCAGAATGTTTGACTCAAAATTAGATAAATTAAATAATATAATCTTTCACATCTCCTAGAGGTTTGATGTTATAGTGTATCAATTAGCTGATAAAAAAAGTCTTCTCTCTTTCTTTCTGCTCCATTTTGTGATAGTTCTTTGGCGGGGTCCTCAGAGCCTCTCGCTGCTGTAAACCATGGGGACTGTGGTAGCGTCCATGCAGAGTGGCAGACACAGACCACTGCTCTGTCTAATGAGCAGGCTGTGGATGGTCGCCATGGGAACACTGCTCCCGCCCCTCCCTCCCCCTAAACACTTTATCATCTCATTATGCGCCAAAAAGTTACTCCGACAACCACAAAGTCGAGCTGTGGTGAAACAAGATTATGTCAGTCAGAAATTTGTTCAACATTGTAATATCATATACTAACATACTAGCATTTAGTATCATAATTTCATTTTTAGATTTAGAATTGTTGAGTAATCTATGTCTTGTTTGTATGGATGCTGGTGTTTCTGCTACAACTGACTTTCTCCTTTGGGAATGAATAAAGTATCTATCTATTTTTTATTATTATGATTTTGATGATGATGATTATTGTTATTATTGTTATTATTATTATATCATTATTTTCATTGTTCCATTATTATTTTATAATTATTTTCATTATTTTCATTTTTTATCATTATTATGATTATTATTATGTTATTTAAAATTTACTAAATGTCAATGTCTATTAGAGCTGTGCCAAAAATCAAAAGATCGCAATCTCAACGTAGACCTTTGAGTATAATTGACACTTGAACACCTTCTAAAACACATTCTATTACGTTTAGATAATATGTTTAGTCATATTAGCCTTTTTTTTGTTTTTTTCAATCTACATATGTCTACATACAAGTCTTTATTTCTTTGCACTAGAGTAGACAACTTTTTACTTATATGTGTGTATAGTTTCTCATATGCTGTTTCTTTCTTAAGCTAAAGAGACAGATTTACGTTACGTTCACTTCACCTTTTTTGTGTTTGTGTTTTCCTCATTCCTACAGTTTTGTATCTTGGGATGCAACACTGACTTTTCCCCTTAATATTATTTTTCCCTTAGCCCTCAGTCATTCCTATATAAAGTAAAACAATCATTAAAGTCAACTTTCTGTTTTCTGGGATTAAGTTTGACCAAAAATAAAAAAACGTGAATCAACAAAAAACGGCAAATGCTTCCAAACAAAATCATTTTAACTGCAATTTTGATCATACCAGCTGTAGAACTCAATCAATCAATCCTTATTTGTAGAGCGCCTTTTCTACACAGAGCAACACAAAGCGCTTCGCAGTCCACGTCACACAAGACACAAATCATCACACAAAACCAACACCAAAATCACCATTTAAAACAATTAAAAGTCACACAGGTATTTACTCAGATGCTGCTATGGTCGACTATTCTTACGGTGGATAACACTCTTTACTCGATGAAGCAGATATAGCGCTGTCTTTACTTTGGGGAGTTAATGTGGAGTGTGCTTCATGCTGGTTTACAGATTTTCAGAGCAGACAGGGCCTCCAGCCGAGAGTCAATATGAGAAGTGATGTTTGCCCAAGCTATGAGCTGGACCGGATACAAACAGGCCAGGTATAATCAACACTCCAGACTGTGGTTAGTGACTGCTGCGGCGACAACGTCAAGTCCTAATGCAGTCAAACACAGTGAAATATGTATAATTTTGTAGTCGGGTTGAATATCTATGTCCAGGTACAGTTATGTGGATGAAATTCACTGTATCTTGCGACTCCTATCCCCCATCTAGGCAAGTATGGGTTATTATTTTGTGTTGGTTTAGTGCTGCTTTTGATGTTTTTTTTTACAGTCAGACAGCCAAAAGGAAATATATATATCTGCAGAGCCTTTCTTCTTACATTAGATATTTATAGGCCCTCTATATAACCACCATGGCTATTTCCTCTGTACATCTTTCAAAACCACATCAAATGCACCGACAATGATGATGCGGGTCTTATTTAAACTCCTCAGCCTCACAGACGATGGACTCGGCGGTATGTCACCCGCAGGAGTAGATGACATTTTTATTCATATAGATATGTTTTGTGACCAATTATGGGATTTTACAGCCAGAGGAATAAACGTTCACACAGATACACTGTTAGGACTTTCCGCAATGTATTTATCAACCACCGACCTTCTTACACACATTTTCACTTTCCCTACTTACATTTTATCAAAGCCCTCTATTACGGACAAAATTGTATCCTGAGAAATATTGAATCGAATGCCGTTTATTATGTAAAAGTTATGCTCAAAGTTAAATGATTTTAAAAACAGGGTTGGCCCCAGATAGTTCACATAGTTCAAAGGGTTTTAATCTACAGAAACTTATAGCCAAAGTTGTGTGTGGTAACTTACTGGCAAATGATCTTTTTGAGGAGAAATATGGTGTGAAGTTGGGATGGTAGGATTCATTTAATTTTTCTTTTTCATGTATTCATTAATTTCAGACAGATGAGTACAGTATAGACAACACAGTCAAGTCATATAGTGAAAAATTCAAATTGGTGTTTGAGTTAAATATTTTTCAGAAATTATAACATTCTGAACTGTATACATTTGAAAGCTTAAACAATAATGGTTATAAGACTAAAATCTCTCGTTGGGACACGTCCTCTTCTTGTCTTCTCTGCTTCGACTTTGCGTTGACCGCTATACCTCCGCTCTCCCTCCGCTCTCCCTCCGCTCTCCCTCCTCCATCTGAAACATCTCTTTGGACGGCGGATTGGCAGGCCTCATCTGTGTCACCTGCCTCGCTCTGAACTGGCTGGACGTCCCGAGATAAGGCTCCGAAAGCTGTCCCAAACCTGGCCCCGTGCCCATCACCGTCCTCACTCCGCAGCCAATATCCCCCTGTCACTCAGCTGTAGTCCGACCGGTCCAGCTTGTTTGTAAATCTCCTTTGTGGGCTTTTAATATCGTTTTTCATAGCAGGCTGTGAAATCGGCTCAAATTGGAGTCCGACCACAGCTCTGGCCCGGAGTAAGCTGATGGAAATTTGGGTTTTGAATAATTTATCGTCAAAAATGGAATTGAAATGAAAAAATAAAAAACATCAACGTCTTCAGTGATAGTGCAGCTGTTGAGGCGGAATTAAGGTTTTTTCAAAAAGAAATACACAAAATTACAAACCACAAAAACAAGAAATTATCACAAGAAATTCCTCTTTTTTAACTTTACATTATTGAACACATGATTATACAGTTATATCAATGTAAATATTTGTTTTTTATGTATTCCCATTTTCCCATTATCTCCCACCGAATTGGGAACCATACTTTTGTCAACTGGAACGGTCGAACTAATGTAAAATACTGCATATTTTCACACAAATTTTGTTTTACAAGCATTGAATAATAATATAAAGCATTTTGAAGTCAACTTGTCTCACACATTTTACATTTTATATCAAGTAAATTAAGTTAAATCCATTATTCAATAGAGTAAGATCTTTTTTTCCCTAAATATATATATATATATATATATATGAAAACATTATAGACACATTTCTTAGTATTGCATTCTTTAATCAAGGGCAGATTTATTACTAGATTACTTTTTGCAGTGTAGTAAATTCATAATTTTTTGGTTTTTTTTTCCCCAAAAGCTAACTCTAGACCGACCACCAGTTGAGAACCACCGCTCCTGAAGAATAAATACACGATAAAAAAGATAAATATAACTCAATGTTCTCTTTTTTTTTTTTTTCTATTTATTTATTTGACAGGGACAGTGTACATTAATCAACATTTCTGTAAATGCACCGGAATTAGCCAAAAGGCTATTTTTCATCCGTAGTCCCTGGACAGATGTAAAAAGTCTCCCTAAGACAATAAAACAAATTGTCTTAGGGAAATAAATAGATAGAGAAATATGAAGTTCCCAATGTCTGGTTAAACATGTAATGAATGTGACAAATATCATAATTATTGAACATTGAGAGGCCTATTACAGGAACATATTTGTATAGAGATAAAGTGTCCCTTCACCAGAGCCTTGTCTCTGCGTCTGCATGTTCTGCTCTTTACCACATGAGTGATGGCCGATCGATGCCGCCGCAGTGAGGCGGCGGCAGCGTTGTGACTGATGTAAATAAAATGAGCTGCCTCCACAAAACGGTACTAGTAGGAGGCCCCTGTTGTACCCCTCACCCTCACCCCCTCACCCCTCCACCATCATTGGGGCTTTCCTCTTCATCGGCCCAGGACAGTGTGCGGACTCAGCAGCACTACACATAACAAGCACTATATGTCTAACTGTCAATTGGTTTTTATCTTAACTTACTAAACATTGAGACAAGTGGCCGATATTTTATGTATAATTAAATGAAAGGTGTTAGGGTTTGCAGAAAGAACTCCAAAGCAGAGGCAGGAAACCCAAGTTTAACAAGTTTATTTATAAAACTAGCAGGCAGTTGAGCTGGGGCGAGACACAAGCGGATATGAAGAGACAGCAGGTAAGTATAAAAAGATGCACCAAACACAGGTAAGATCTGAAAAAACAGGAGAGCTGGATGCACTACTGCCTGGGACTGAATCATCTGGAAGAGAAGTGGAAAACAAGTGGGAATAAGTCTTTATTTACAGAGACAGAGAGGTAAAGGTGAAGCCAGCCACACCCAAAACGTCAAATGTAGATATCTGTTCTATGCTTATTGATGCTGCATGTAATTGTTTGAAATTAAGATCTTAAGATAGTCCTTGGAACAACAATTTTGAGTTGATTGGCATATCTACCTTTTATGATTTAAAAAATGAACAAAACAAAACAATTTCGTATTACAACCATTATTTTTCATTTTTGGTTCAGTTTCTCATTCTCTTTGGGGGGCCACTGTTACGGCACAAGAGCCAGCACTAAATACACTCAGGAGACATCGTAAAAAATAATTAATCATAATAATAGTTTTAATTCATATTATCTATGTCGGGTGCCAGCGTTAATTAATTCATTTCTTTACACTCAAATCCAGCTAATTAGCCTGCTACACTACAGACGTTTAATTTGTGTTTGATTTAGACAAGATATGAGTGCGCCAGTGCATAAAAAGTACATTAGTGAATCATTAGCTCTATGCTCCTGTCACTTGTGTCATGTAATGAGGCATGAGCCACGCTAAGTTTAGAAAGCCACCAGGCGACTACGACTGCTATTATTCCAGCTATTATTCCTTCTATCATTCCTCCACGGATGAAAAACCAACATCTTTAAAGGCTTTTCATAATGTAGGTGAAGTTCCATGATTTGTGTGGGTGTTTGAACGCACATGTTTTTTTGCTGCACCAGTTACATGTAGTTTAGTTTAATTTAGTTTCATTTATTAAGGACAATGTGCAGTTACATCATTTAAAAAGATGGCTGCAGCTGATTTAGCACCGAGCTACTTTCCATCTGTAGTCCTAGTCAGTTTATTTCTTCTTTGGTCACCGCATTCAAAATAAATATGACGTATTGGTAAACAGAAAAATACAATTATATGAATGACTGAAAGTGTTTTAAGATAAGAGTTCCTTTATTCGTCCCACAGTGGGGAAATTTTGATGTTGCAGCGCACATACAGGACAGTAGTAAGAGCACACAGGGAGCACACAATATATAAAATAAGTAGTGGCTATGTGTCTTAACAAGCATAACTATCTGTAGATGCTGGAAATGCTTCAATACCAGTCAAAAAATATGATATTAGTAGTTTTGGCTGAAGTATAAACTTATTTCGCCTATCCCCTACATTACTAATGGTGAAACAACAAAACTACATTATGACAATAGCCATTTCTCGTATTAAAACGTTTCTGTTGTATTCTTACCATCTATCTATTGTCTTCTGCTTTATCCGTTGCCGGGTCGTATTCTCGTGCTTTCTCAGATGGCTCACACGTCAGTGACAAAACATCTGTGTATAAATTAAGCGTAACTAACAAGCGTGAAACCTCAGAGTTGAAAAACGCACATGCACCTTTTTAAACTGGGATTCAAAAAACACATTCAAATGTTGTCAGAGCGTTTGGCATAGAGTAAAACCCATTTAGCTCAACCAATTATCGGTGTCGACGTAAACGAACACCTTTTCAGATCTTCAGCGAGTCGCAGGTGCCAGACGCCTGAGTGAGAAAGTGTAATAAAAGCTTGTTGAGGAGGGATTAGATTTTTCCGTGGGGATGGGAGGAGGGATATTACAGTAGCAGACAGGTGCGCTTTGCCTCGCTCCTCAAATCTTTTTGAATAACTCTGCTCCTTATTAATCCACAGAGACAGAAATCTGCTTGTAGACGGCAGCATCACAGAGACCGCTTTTTTCATATTGGCTTTTCACAGCTTTTATATATGAAGAGTAATAACTTTAACCCAATATTGCTCTATATTACATTTTACATATTGCTACTTCACAAGTTGTGGCAGTTATAGCGGTAGAAGCATGGTCAAAGTGGAAGTATACAGTGTTTGTATCCCATGCTTTAAAATGTTATTGGTCACAATCATTAAAGTGGATGTCAGTTACTACAGGCCCTAGTTAGGCCCTGCTCGCCCCTGCAGCCTCCTGATTGGTCGAAATTAATGCAAATCCTTGAGGCCACAGTAATCCAGCAAATCTTTCTGGTCTGAATTATGGGGAGGGACTATTTTTGTTGAAAAATACTTAGTGTACATAATAGTACAAGGTCATAAGACTTTAAAAGGAATAAGATAAGATAAGATAGACCTTTATTCGTCCCACAGTCTGGAAAGGAAGAAACAAGACACAAATCAACCAGGATCTATTAATCAAAACAAAAGATTAAATGCAATTCTAAAGTAAAGAGTCAACTGCGTGCTCCCACTGACGTCTGCTGTCGTTGTGTCCCTAGGCAAGACACTCAACCCCACTTTGCCCGAAGCCTCTGCTGAAACAACAAGGCCGTAACTCCGATGATGGAAATACAATGAGCTGAGTGGATAGCACTCTCGCCTCTCAGCAAGAAGGTCCTGGGTTCAAATCCCGGTTGGACCAGGGCCTTTCTGAGTTGAGTTTGCATGTTCTCCCCGTGTCTGCGTAGGTTTCCTCCGGGTGCTCCAGTTTCCCCTACCTCTAAAAATATGTACAATAGGTCTGACATGTGCCTCCTGTACTGGCACCCCCACTCCCAAAAATAACAATTGTAAACCGCTTTGAGACTCCGATGTGCAGTGAAAAGGTAGTCTATAAATAAAGATTACTTACAATAAAGTAAAACTCTGGAGCCAGTATACAATTTAAGTAGCTGTCATCACTTTTAAAACAATGCTAAAAAGAAAGTAAAAACGTTTATTTAAAGGAAAAATCTGGCCAGAAGTGTTACTCCACTCTCCCTGACTTAGGTTGCCAGATATGCAGACGAATCTAGCTGGGAGTGGGACCATAATATCTGAATAAAGAGTTTTGTCAACAGCAAATCTATAACCAACACCTTTTTCACAAAGATAGAAATCCTGGTTTTATTCCTTGTTTTGTTGTTAATGATTTGAGAATCATAACAAGACCTTTTTTAGTTCTGTGGCCACATGGTACTTTACCAGTGAGATTAGCTCGACGTGGTGAGTTCTGGCAATCCGGATTACAGACTTTCTGATTGGTAAAATGGTGGAGGGCGGGACATCGAAATGAAAACAATAACTAGATTTAGGGGCTGTAAAACTAATTTTGAAATTTGAATATCCTGACTGAACTACTGTCATCAGTTAAAGAAGTATTTGAAGTATTTGCATGATTTATTAATGCCTTTTGACAGATTAGAGCCATTTAATGATGACTTGTCAGGAAAATCTTACATATTGCTGCTTTGACAACTTTCAGCCAGTCTCATTCA